GCAGTTGAAATTTTATTTCTTTCAACTCCAAAGTAACAGTCTATATGAATTTAACTTAACACAGAGTTATCACTGACTATGGTATTCTCGAACTAGTTGCAGAGCATTTTGTTACACAAAATAAAACAATCATATTTAACCAAAACATTTCACGCATGTCAGTACTGCATGCGTACAGTTTTACAAACAAATGATAAGGACTAGTAACTGGGTTTTGGCATTAAAGATGACTCATTGTCCAAAATCAAGTATTTTTTTCAAAATCAAAAAAATATATAACTAATATTCTCCGGAAATGTAGTGTGTTAAAGCGCTCAAGATACTGGCGATCTTGAGTCAACTTTCATGACAAAAAGCAATGCAATCGGTTTCGAGAAGATAACTCAAGAAGTACTTGGTGCATTAATTTGAAATATTGCATAACGATTCAACCTGATATATGTATCAAATCTCTTGAATTTGGATATCAATCGTTGACCAATAATAAAAATATACACAAGACAATGTGGCATGTAAGCGCGCAAAATACAAGGCGAATTTGAGTCAATATGTTTATGGAACAAAAACAACACACTCGTTGTGGAGACGACTTTTCAAGAAATGCTTGTTGTATTGGACTGAAATCAAATCTCCTGATAAGTTATCATACACAACACATCACTTGCGAATTTGGAGAGAAACCGTCAAAAATATAATTAATATACTCCGGAAATGTAGTGTGTTAAAGAACTAGCTAGCTACAAATAACTGGAGATTTTAGTCAACTTTCATGACACAAAAACAACTCGGTTTCCAGAAGATAACTCAAGAAATACATATTTGCATGAAATCGACATTTAATAAATTGATTAAACATACAGATGATTGAACAAATCTGTTGAATTTAGTGAGGAATCGTCAAACCGAGAGCGTTTTTGTGTCATGAACTTGACAATTCAAAGGCATGTTTTGTGTCGTGTTGACAATGTTTGCATGCACGGTACAGTGGTGACCAATAGCGCGCCCTCTTGTGAAAGAAAAATGAAAATGACATAAATTGGCGGGATTTTCTCCGTGCTTCCCCAGTACATTATTTTGGTTATATTGTTTTTATTGTCGGACGATCCCTCTCCAAATTCAACAGATTTGTGATATATGTTACCTTTAATCACAATACGAAATATCGATTCAATGCAACACGCATTTCTTGAGTTATCGTCTGTAAAACGAGTGTGTTGTTTTTTAACTATGAAAGTTGCATTCATGCTTTCAGTTTAAAGACAGAACATTCTTTACGATGGTGACCACTATTTGTGTAGCGCGCCCTCTCTTGAAAGAAAATTAAGTTGAGTTAAATTTGGCAGATTTTTCTCCGTTTTTGACATAAATCGGTAAAATAAATTCTAATCTTAGAATTAAGTGTAGAAATTGAGTATTTTTGTGTTGATTTACGCTGGTCGTCTCACCGAAAGTTCATTATTTTCGTTTGCAGATATTTCATTTTATTGGCCTTGTTTAAGTAAAAAAATTCAGTTTAACCCCTAGCATTTGCTTTTGTTTATAATTTTGGGTAAAAACGGGAATAGTGAAACTTGCGACTTTCAACAAGTTTGAATTTGGTGTTAAAAATAAACAAACTAAGGTTATGATCTTCGTTCATAATGGAAATTCATGTAGGTTATTTCAATTTCACTGGAAGGCAACCGATCCCACCCAGCAATAATAATATAGACTGATCCGCTTAAGCCCCGCCCCCGTAATATTCTGACCAATCACAGCCGTGATTTAATGTGGTCTGACACGCGTGCATTTGCGTACGACGCGCGCGTCTTGAACACGCATTGCAGCATTGGTTGAGTGGGTCACGTGTTGTTGCTGCTCACATGGCAGTGGGCGCGGCTTAATGACTCGGTTTGCTACATCCACGATCACCATTTACAAAGGAATTTATTTTCATTTACAAGTAAGGTTTAAAATTCAAAAACATAAAGGGAATTTTCTCCTTTGTAATGATTCACAAAGTTTAATCAACTTTCAACTGAAGAAACCCAATAGTTTTCAATATTATACAACAAATTAAAATCAATAATTAAAATTACAAAATGAAAATGTTTCTAGATGGTTCTCTCTGAAACCTTCGCATTTTTACATGTGCTTCCAAAACCCATTTAAATCCAACAGGGTGCAGTTGACCAATGAACTGACTAGGAAGTCGAGAACCAGTGTTAGCGATTACACAGTCCTCCAAAACCAGCGTCAAATTGGGACGAGCCAATCCATGTACAACATGAAAACAAAATCTGGACAATTCCTTTGCTTAATTTTCATTTTCATATTAGGGACACATCAAATGAAAAAAAAAAAATAAAAACATGAAAAAGAAGTAGTCAACAAAATACTAAAACGAAACATAAACACTCAAAATTAGTTGACCACACATTAATTTCTAATCATTGGATTCTCATTGTTTCAAGTCACTATGTAACATTTTTGATGTAAGAGACAATACATGTAAAGTACACATGTATAAAATTATTTACTACGTAGCCGCGCTGACAATTATATGAATCTTCGAGAATGAAAAATTGGACATGTTTACAAAGAAGATTTAACTGTCACTGAAATTATTATTGGAACCCAAGAAATCTCAACAGATTTTTGTTGAAGGACACATTAGGGTTTGAATCCAGCTGCTGGCCATATGCTGTGTCCTTGGGCAAGCCACTTTACCCCACTTGCCTCTCTCCACCCAGGAGTATAAATGGTTCCAGCATTAGCTGGGGAGTAACCTGCGATGGACTGGCATCCCATCCAGGGGGAGTAGAAATATTCTTGTTTCATGCTACTGAAACTGGAGATAAATGCCAGCCTGATGGGCCACATTGGCTTGTGACAGACTGAACTTACATCAAGGTACATGCATCATGGGTAGTTATGCATAATTGTTAGGAACTTACAAGTTAGGGATCTCTTATACACGCACACCTTGCAGAAAAACTGCAAAAACATTCTTATTTTTAATCTGACAAATCACTCTGTTACCCACTAAAAGTAGGCAACAGATCATTCAGAGTGAAAAAAAAATACACTTAGATTGAAAAAAAAAGTTTGAATAGATTTTTCTCTGTCAGAGTCTCAGGTGTAAAAAAAAGAAAAGAAATTTCACTCCGAGAGAAATATGGGAAAGAATGTTGCATCCTGACGTCATTTTTCATCATTTATTATCTCAATGAATCAGTCACTGCAAAAATGTCGAAAAAGACATGAATCTGCGACTGAGAAACGTGAGCCCAATTTTGTTAGAAAGTGGTCTTAGACTCTCCATAGACTTTGTGCATAGCCAAAGAAGTAGCGTCTGGATACTGCATTCTTTCCAAAAGCGTACCATTACTACTACCTTGGGTTTTCATCTCGGGTTTAACACGTTTTCTCACAAATGCCATCCAGAAAAGGAAAAATAGGGATTGATTTCCCTACTGCCTTTATACATTGAGTGTCAACTGTACATAAAGTTCAGGGATATAACTACACAAGTAAACAAAAAAAGATACTAGTAAAATAAAGACCATCAATCTCGACTTGAGACAGTTTTAGCTTCAACGCAAAATATAAAGTACTTTTCTTATTAAGACAAACATATCAATGCAAGATTGAACTGGCAACTCTCAAATGAAATGCCCAAAGTTCAACCCTGTCTAGTCGACACAAAAGTTTGCTCTATAATCTCTGAAATCTGGACATCTATGATAACTTTTCCACTCTTTTCCCTATCAGACATTGTAGTGTGAACCATTCTCCACAGCTAAGTTCTGTACAAAAATAGGTTATTTATTTATATATGATACATAAACTACGTCTACCGAAACAGAAAACAATTCTAATTTTCTCTACGATTGAAAAAGACAAACACCACAATGATCAGTTGCTTGTTAAGATTTCCATTATAAAATAGATAAAAGGTACGCAAGAATTATTTTAGCTCCATTTATACATAATATTCGAGTAATGTAACATTCGGTATTTGTATCATTATTATATAATGAATTACAATATCAAGAAATTATTCTTAAATTGTTCAGTTCCTGTGTGTTAAGGAGCGTCTTTAAAATTGGAATAATTAGCCATGTCTGAATTACTGGGCTACGACTACGGCTTGATATTACACATGAGCCATAGCTGAGTAATTCAGACACGGCTATCCTTGTTCTGTATCAAACAAATTACATGTCAATGGAAATGCTAGTTCCTGATGGCAACCTAGTATTTTCCCCATTGTGCTGCAAACGGTACCAGACTACTCTTGAGCAAGCCTTGATCAAGGCTGTGTTCAAATTACTTGACTACGGCTTGCAATCACACACACGTCTATGGAAAGCGGCCGAGGTCACTTCCCATAGACTCCTGTACTTCCTAGCCGTAGCCACGTCTATGGAAAGCGGCCGAGGTCACTTCCCATAGACTCTTGCACTTCCTAGCCGTAGCCACGTCTATGGAAAGCGGCCGAGGTCACTTCCCATAGACTCCTGTACTTCCTAGCCCTAGCCACGTCTATGGAAAGCGGCCGAGGTCACTTCCCATAGACTCCTGTACTTCCTAGCCGTAGCCACGTCTATGGAAAGCGGCCGAGGTCACTTCCCATAGACTCCTGTACTTCCTAGCCCTAGCCACGTCTATGGAAAGCGGCCGAGGTCACTTCCCATAGACTCCTGTACTTCCTAGCCCTAGCCACGTCTATGGAAAGCGGCCGAGGTCACTTCCCATAGACTCCTGTACTTCCTAGCAGTAGCCACGTCTATGGAAAGCGGCTGAGGTCACTTCCCATAGACTCCTGTACTTCCTAGCCGTAGCCACGTCTATGGAAAGCGGCCGAGGTCACTTCCCATAGATTCCTGTACTTCCTAGCCGTAGCCACGTCTATGGAAAGCGGCTGAGGTCACTTCCCATAGACTCCTGTACTTCCTAGCCGTAGCCACGTCTATGGAAAGCGGCTGAGGTCACTTCCCATAGACTCCTGTACTTCCTAGCCGTAGCCACATCATTTGGAATTCACTGAATCTGGGGAACTTTTCAAGAGTTCTAAGTTGTATAATGCCTCCTTTTAAATACCAACAGACCGGTAATTTCTCATTTGGTAGAATCAAAGGGAAGACATATTCTTAGTTGTTTCAAGAAAGAAAACACCAGACTGCCAAGGCTTACAAAGAACTAACAATTAAGAGATCTCGTCTATGGAAATACATAGCTTAATATGATGGAATTTAAAAAAAAAAAAGTACACAATTGACATTATGCTGATATACATAGGACCACTCTCCAGAGGGCGCTATTCAATGTATCTGTTTACTGTACACAGAGTTCCATTGTGAGTAACCAGTATTGTAGTACTCATACTGATAGAAATGACTCATACTCAGACAAAGTACTCATACTCATACTTGTCATGCCAGAATATGCGTACTCGTACTAGTACTCAAGGCAAAGTACTCGTCTTTGTATTTGAATTCATGATGACGAAGTACTTCAATGTGTCCTTGTGCCCATGGCAACGTACTCGTACTCAAACTCAGGATGACAAAGTACTTGTACGTGTACTCATCGCGAAGAACTCACGCTCATACTCAACCACACGATGACAAAGTACAAACTGCAACACTATAAGTAACGCTACCACCTACCATGATTAAACCGGTTAGATAATTTCCACATAGTTAGCCGGGAAGTATCCTGTGTGACCGTTTAACTCTCCATCGATCCAATTCTCGTCGATCTTACTGACGATGCTGATGATGTCGCCCTCCTGAAACCCCAGTTCGCCCTCGTTTTCTGCCTCAAAGTCGTACAGTGCCTTGCAGCGTTCCTTCGTTGCCGTTACAGGTACTGAGAAATTGGAAATAGTACAAAATCAGTTGAAGAATTTGTTCAGTTTGCAAAAATCTGCAAGGTACCAGTTACAACTAATATACATCACATGACAGTTGACATGATGGTTAGTTGGTGACCTGTTTTTACTGAGCAATATTTTCTGTCCGGTTTGAAAGCCTATAGATTGCAAACCAGCGAATAAACTGCCATAAACCTCAGTGATAAATACCTGCACTTCTAAAGATCAGGACAAATACTCACAAGTCTCTAAAGGTGCTTGAGGCACACATCAAATTAAAGCTTATTTCATCATCTTTCATTTCATCAAGTTTCGGTGGGTAATCCAATGAGTTTTGGGAGAAAATTCCATCCAAAGATGATTACCCCTAAATAGTCCTGAAGTCCATCGCCATTTTGAAGACGATGCCTATGCTCCATTGCAAAATAGAGCAAATTAGGGCCTACTGGTAATTTCATCCAAATTTCGTCCTCATCACGGCATGGACCCTTCTTTTTTTTACAAACCCTCAAGTTCACGGCCCACAAAATGCTCCAATACATGTAGCAAACAAATTGAGGACATTCAAATCGTGATTTGGCCAGGGAAGGCAATTTTGGGCCTATTTACTGGCCTGCAACCTTAAGCAAACTGTGTGCTGAGCTGGAGCATGAGATCCCTGTTGACTTACCTGGTGCGTTGTAATCGACCGTTGACGGGTACGCGTCGGTGTCGTCTCCGTCACTGGAGTCTCTCTTCGTGGAGTAAGAGTTGAAAGTACTTCTGGGTTTGCGTTCTGATTTGGGTCGACTGCCTGCCTCCTCAACCCTGGAAAACATCACAGAACATTGAGAAGGATGGTAACTGACAAGTTTGGGTATTATAGTCAGTCAGTCACAAGGCCATCACAAGTCATCACAAGTCATCACAAGTCCATCACAAGTCATCACAAGTCCATCACAAGTCATCACAAGTCAATGACAAGTCCATCACAAGTCAATCACAAGTCATCACAAGTCAATCACAAGTCAATGACAAGTCCATCACAAGTCATCACAAGTCCATCACAAGTCATCACAAGTCATCACAAGTCATCACAAGTCAATGACAAGTCCATCACAAGTCAATCACAAGTCATCACAAGTCATCACAAGTCATCACAAGTCCATCACAAGTCCAGCACAAGTCCATCACAAGTCATCACAAGTCAATCACAAGTCCATCACAACTATATTACAAGTCCATTACAAGTCCATCACAAGTCAATCACAAGTCTATCACAAGTCTATCACAAGTCATCACAAGTCATCACAAGTCTGTCACAAGTCCATCACAACTCTATTACAAGTCCATCACAAGTCATCACAAGTCAATCACAAGTCAATCACAAGTCAATCACAAGTCAGTCACAAGTCCATCACAAGTCCAGCACTGTTGGCATACCTTTCATTGAGTGTTGAGAGAAGGCTTTCCAAGACCTCTGCAGACTGTTTGTGGTATTCTAGCTGAGCCTCGGCTAACGCTTGAAGCTGTAACACCTGCTCAACCTGTTAAAGAAATCAAGGTGCATTTTCAAGGATTGCATTAAAACAATTAAATTACATGGCCATTTAAAGAATATCTTACACAACAGAAATAAATAGGAAACCGTCAATCTCTTCACCCATACAATGTCGGTATAAATTATTCTTCCATGGTTGAACTGAGAGAAATATCAAAATAAATGCGAAGAAATATAAAGTGAAAAGTTGTTCTTGAGACTCAATGAGTGGTATCTGATTGAGTAGTAAGATGCTCTAGTGCATCTTGGCTCATCTTTGCTCCGATTTGTCAGGTACTTACATCACTCTCAAGGAGGTTCCTCATCCCGTTCTCAGCAAGCTCCTGAGATTCGTGAAACTTCTCTTCTGCAAATTGGATTTCTTCTTCAGGAATTGTGCTTCCTGCAACACAAACAAAAACAAGATTGATGAGAACAAAAGTCAGACATATTGGCTCAGAATTATCCAAGATGCCAGTATTTTCCTGGTGTGGAAATGTAGTATAATTCCTGCATCATGCAAGCATGCATTAACCCTAACAGAACTCAACCCATCAAACCCCAACGGCATGTTTAGTGGGAATCTGTCAGGATGGGTACAGTACCCTTAAACTGACAGTCTTTTACATTGGGTTGGCACACCTCCAGAATCAAAGTCAGAAATATGTGTGAGCAGTTTCCCATATGGTGTTGGAATTTGCCAGGATGGGTATGGTTCCTGGTACATCATGCTAGGGAGTTAGAGTTAATCCATCACCATGTACACAATGAGTCATAAAGAAAGTGACCAAATTAAAAACATATTTCAAAAAATATGTGGCTCGCTCTGTTTAATAAAAATAGGGGTAAAGTACTTGTTATTGACTAGTAACTGTGAAAATTTCACGTAATTTGCATACTCTATTCCCAAGTAATGACTATTTTGATACAATGATCCAAAATTCAGTTGTCCACCACTGATCATTTATCATTCTACAAACAAATAAATACCCATGAAATACCATGAAACATAAACATTTTCCCACCTCCATGAATGAATGGAAAAACGGACAAAAACGGACAAAAATTGCCATCAATATTTCAGAAAAAAAGAGTGGACTTGTTCCTCATACATGTCATAATCGAAACACAAAATCTGACAGTAAAAATACTGTTTCAGTCTTGACTCAAATGATTGAAATCTCATTTGTATTTGAATGCCTGTGTGTAATCTGTAATTCTCACTCAGCTCAATAGCTTCCAATGGCATTCCATGGAGCTACATTTTGTATACTTCATTCGTCTATTAAATTTGATTGCTTTTTCAGATTTTTTTGTATTAATCCAGGTTTTTTTTTCAAAATGGCGGGCAGAAGCGATTCAACAACTGCTTCACGAACGAACAAATCATACACAAACATTTCTTCCATGAAATGCTGTTATTATCCTCGTCCAAGATGTTTAGATTATTTAAAACATGGCCCATGAACGCCAACTTTCGTGAAATCGATCGTAAGTTCATTGCGTGGCCGCGCAATAGGTTTGTTGCGTAAGTCCTACGCATGGCGTAAGTTACGCACTGTTTTTTGTGCAATCAGCTGCATAACAAAGTTCCGTATTTATTACAACTCACACATATTTAAAACTTAGACTTTCTCAATTTTGTTTTCGGAAAAAGTCACTTTTTACACTTTTCTGAGTTTGAGTCCACACAAAAATGATTTGGGTCAATTTTTTTCATCAATGCAATTGAATATTGACCAACAAAATGCAAAAACAGGCTCATTAATATGTATGAGATGTAATGAATATTCATGATACCTCCATATATACAAATTCATGTTATTTCTGACAGAATCAACTACAACCGACATTAACTCTTTGCCAGTAATTGTCCTTCTTTAGTAGACAATAATTTACAACAGTTACAAATTACATTCTAAAACTTGTAACACAATATGTCTTTTGATGTTTAACTAAAAACACTCTTAAAATCAACCATTTTTTGGTCAATCTGAAGATCTTCCACTGCAACTTTTCTTTTTCTTTTTGAAGATCTTGTTGAGGTTTTATTGATAACATAAATTGTCGTATTTCATCACCCAGTAAAACAGACATTTTTGGTCTTTGGACTGTTGCTTGATTTGGATGTGCTTAAAATAAACTGAAAAAAAAATGAAATGAAAACGGAATGATAATCTCCAATCAAGAAAACATAGCAGCTGGCTTAAACATGCAGGCAAAGTGAAAATGCTGGCTACGTTTGTTCTATGACATGCTGTTAGTGTTCCAAGCAGGATGTTTAAAAACAAAACATGCAAGTTTCATGAGGACGTTCACATGAAATGCCAAACAAAATAAAGGAAGTAACATGCACAAGCTAGCATCAAAACCAAAACAAAACCAAAACTGCAAAATGACAAAGTGAACTCTAATCCAGTTTTGATTTTCAAAAAAATGACTACCGAGCTTTAGAAATCTGGGATAATATATTTCAAAATAGCGGTGTTTGGTATAGCAACGTTCCACTGTATATGAGAATGTAATTTCCAGTAACCCTGGTTAACCCTTCTGTTAGTGAGCATTAGCCATGTCTGAATGACATGGCTACGGCTAACACTAGCCCACATGGGAAGTGGCTTCATCTGCTTCCATAGGAGCAACTAATGTATTAGCCGTAGCCACTTCATTCTGACGTGGCTTTACATTTTTTCCTTTCCCTTCATTTTCGACTCTGCACCCACGGCGAAATCTACAAATATATAGCACTACTGCCTACTCTATAGCCCAGACTGCTGGCCAAATTTGATACGCTTTAGGCTGACAATCCATGTGTCCGTTTTTGACGTGCGTATTGCGTTTTGCATACCAGTTGCGTATCCGCGATGCGTACTCTGAAAATCCACGAGTACGTATTTCTCGGCACACTTGACCGACGTAAAAGCTCATATTCCCACAATGACTGGTCTTAACGCAGTAGGGATAGCGCAATGCGCAATACAGGTACATGGACCTATGTATGTATGCACATTGCTTATCAAACAACTGATTTTTACACATCAGGCAGTGCGCACTACGCATGACGGACACACGGATTTTTGGCCTTATACTGTATTTTCTGAATCCTCAATTAATTCTGATCTATTTCACCACAATATTTTCTACGAAATGCTACGCTACAAAATCGGTGTTGACATACCACCTGCTGCTGAGAGGAACCGACGAAAACGTTTTTACGGGTACATGGAAAGTAAAAATAGAAACATGATGTCATCATAGGATAATAGACCAAGCACAAGTACCCCCTCAACGGTAAGAAAGGGAGAGTTGGGGTCGGAGAGACGACTGGGAGAGACATTTGAACGCATTGCCAACGACGCCTGACGTCACAGGAAGACGCTATGGCTTTGTGCATATTGGGAATGAAAGTAGTCAGGGTACCATGCGCTATACGTAGTGTGCCCCATCCACTGGACTATCGAAAGTGATCAAATAGCTCCCTCTCCTGTTTGCGCATGGAGACCATTAATCTAAGCAGCCGTTGGATTCCTTTGTATTCAGTTTGGTCGTTTTTTTATCCCGGAGGCTGTCTAGACCAATCCTGAAGGGGTAGACGTTTATTAGGGACATGTAACTGATGAACTAACTAAAACACACTTTTATAAGATGGACTTTTGCGTCGGGGTGATATAAATCAAATTAGGTTTTGCCTTTCACTGACGTTGAAACACTGTATACTCAGTGTGTTACCCACTGAGTATACAGTGTTTAAACGTCGTGGAAGGGCAATTAACCTAATTTGATTTAAAACACACTTCAAAATAGAACGTCATGATAGTACGATACACGTACAGGCTTTCAAGCAGACCCAGGTGAAGAAGTAGGATAAAAGTAAGGTCAAAATTTACAAAAACCAACAGGACAAAAGTCGGATTTTGGAGGACAGACTCAGGATAAAAGTAGGACTGTAGTGGGCTTTCTGGGGTAGTTTTCGTTGATGCTCGCCCACGTCCACAGCATCATAAGCCTCATTTGGCATGTTCTGTACTCACAACACTTGTGCTCCATCCTCAACTAAGCTCTTGGAAGTACAGCTGCAGTACTCCTGCGCCCAAGCCCTTCATTGTGTGATTTGACAGTGTGTAACACTGCCATGAAAGTTTTCAATGAGATTAAATTTCTTCGGAGTTGTGGGACAAAAAAATAGGAAAAAGTAGGAATTTCAAGAAAAAGTAGGAAAAATTGGAGCACGGTAAAAAAAATATCTAGGAAAAGTAGGAGTACTGAAAAGCCTGCACGTACATGTGGACTGAGGTTAATCTATTACATGGACATTTATCACAGTTGTAAATCTTAAAGCTATAGTCCATCATTTGCAGCCATCCGAAAAGTAACTGGCGTAATTATTGTTGAAAAACATACTTGGTTGAAAGATAGTAAGGGACTACACTCCCTGTGAAATTATTCTTTCTGGGAAGCTGTCATTTTGAAGTAATCAACGAAAGAAGGCATTTCCAACGGTGATTCTTAAGAAGCACCGTAGGAAAATTTACATTAGGAGTTCGTTTTGTTATTCAGCGCAGCGCCCACAAGTATTGGAACGACGCACACACGCGCGCGGTTGTTATAATTCGTTGGATCAGTGCGCGACGTCGCGTATAGCTGCAATTCAAAAAAATTCAACACATGATTCAGTAACTTTTGATTTGAAATTGAGGTCTTAGAATGCTGTTTTTCTCGGAATGTACAGCTGAAGCTTAGCTGAAACTTCATCAGGTTAGTTGCTCAGTATCCTTCATTAGATTTTGAACTCTTTTGTTGCTACAAACGAACAAAATGCACAAATTACAAATGATGGACTGTAGCTTTAAGCATCTAGCATTCTACATACACACATTCACAATATTTTTGTAGGGAAAGTACAAGGTAATATTGTGCATTAACAAAGGTCAACAACACTATCTATTCTCATTTTTGAAACTCACAGATAATTTCACTTATTGTTAGTTCAAACTTGTACTGAGCTATGGGTGTACACTATGGGTGCTAAGCACAATAAGGGACCATTCATGACGAGTCTAGGAACTAGACTATTGACATACCGACCAAACCTGCTAATGCTGATGAGTATGTAGATGATGCACAGTGAAAAATGAAAGTAAAACATTAATACAGTGAGTGGTAAAAAAAAAATGATGTTGAATTCAAAGGTGTGGAAAATTCCTTCACAGCGACGTCAATTTACAGGATTTAATGATTAAACTCTTCTATTAGAGACAGTTAGGCCTATCGATCAAAGTAACAAAGTTCAGTTCCCGATGACAATATCCACTTTTGGAAACAATATTTGGCAGATCATATTTGCCGCTGAGTGAATATGGTTGACACAAAGTTCAAACTTTTTCTCGACTGTCTAAACTAAGTCCTCAAAAAATCTAAACCACAATTGAAGGCTTGCAAGGAACACTATTTTAAATGCAATTTTTGTTTTTCTTTTAGTGCAAACAAATATTATACGCATTATACAGTATGTCCAAAAGAAATGTCCGTCTGACTATTTTTGAAATAACTACAAAACCATGAAGTCCATTTTGAAAAAGTTTGATTGTGCAGATACTCCCTATCTTGGCCTCAACCCCGATGAGTTTCATTTAATTTCAGTCACGCATCACTGCATACTTGTCAATTGATCACAACAACATTTTGGGACACTGCGACCAAGTTCCTTGCCTTAATCAATTTCAGTGCTGTGTTAAGTAAGCTGTGTAAAATCCTGCATTTGGGAAAAGGGCTGCAATTGGGATTGGAATCATTTGCCTGGCTATCAGTCATCACGGCAAGACCTCGGTTTAATGCTCAAGGGCAAATGATTCCAATCCCAAACCACATCAGACTTTTTTTCACAGACACATTTTTGGGACAAACTCTATGACAATTAATAATGATAAATTTAGTGTCAGGTTAACAATAACACTTTGGAAGTCTGATGGTTTATTTTTGTTTTAGTTATGATATTTTAGTAATGTAAGATGATTTGATATGATGGAGTTGAGATAATCTGTCGCCTACCTTTTGCTTGCTTCTTCTTTTTGTAGTCAAAGTCAAGACGTCGCCCCTGCAACTTCTTCCGATGGTGCTGGAAAAAACAAACATTGGGGAGACAACTTATTGTTTGTCAAGAGACATTTGCACATTGCTGTAAGGCACCTTATATAAATTATGGGTCAAAGTGTGACAATTTTCGAGTTCCTGTTATCTCTGAGCATTGTCATTTGCTGTTCAAGTATCATTAAGAATGCCACAATTTGTTGGGTAGGTTGTCTGCTTCACATAACCACTCTTGGTGGACGACTGCATTAACCCTAACCTTCCTTAATCCTCCCAAATCCTCTTTGCAAAATGGAGGATTTTGCAGGATTGAGGCTGTTTAATTGGCAAAAATGTGTGGCTGATTTTGCAGGATGCAGTGTGTCAAGGTCTTGGGCCGGGCCTTGTGTTTGTTTATGCTCAACTGTGCATAAATTATACTTGAAGTCCTCCGCACTGCTCCAGGATGTAACTGGCTCTGCCTCAACATATTGACAGTGATTGCTGGAGGATTTTGTAGGATTGAGGCAGTGATCATTCTTCCACGGATCACATTCAAGAAATAATGGAGGATTTTGCAGGATTGAGGCTGCATGCAATTTTGACATGGAGGCAGTTGGAGGATTTTGCAGCATCATCGCAAAAATGCCCAGGGAGTTAGGGTTAAGAATGACTTTAAACAATTTTGTATTCGTTGTGTAAGTAGTTTGCTATTCATAATCACCCTTGGAGGACGACTGCATTAAGGATTGCATCAGAATTATAAAATCACAGATGTCAGATGTAACAGGGACAGGAAAAAAGTGGACCCCAAATTTATCGAATGACCCAAAGTACACAGGCATAAGTTGCAACCCAAATCAACCAGTAATCGATCACTGGTCTTCTATCAATTTTTTTCCAGATTGGCCACAATTTGTGCTTGAATTTCCCCGCAGGTGGCTGTGCAACACAGTCCTGCTTCTATCAAAATCAACCAAATTCTGTCAGATTCTGTAAGATGGAACTCACGTTGATCTCCTTCAGATCTTTGTTCTTGAGATGATCCAGGGGATCCAGGAAGTTCTGTCTGACGTTCAGATCGAAGGCGCCCTTGACTTCAGAAAGTTGCCTCAGTGATTCTCCCATCTCGACCATCGCCGTACCTGTATCCAAAAAATAACCAAAACAATTTTTTTTTTTTATTGATACCTATAAAAAACAACATTTTATTGTTCTGTTGTTTCCACCAAAACTAAACAGCTGTGCTAAGTATACCCTGAAGCTAAGATTGTCTATGAAATGCACTTGGTCTATGAAATGCATTATTAGACCGAGTAAAACAAAAAATGGTTTCCCGTCTGCTTTTTTTTACCTCCACCATGAGGTGAGGTATATGTTTTCATCGGCCTTGGTTTGTCTGTGAACAGGATAACTCAGGATAAATGCGGAGGCACTAGGCTCACGTGAATCGCGCACTCCGGACTCAATCGACCAAAACATTTGCGAGCCTCGTCTTTAAGAACGCGTGCACGTAGTCGTGGCGCGACCTCAAAAATGGCTTCTAATTTTGTTTGCCGGATTACGCTATATGAGAATGTAATTTCCAGTAACCCTGGTTAACCCTTCTGTTAGTGAGCATTAGCCATGTCTGAATGACATGGCTACGACTAACACTAGCCCACATGGGAAGTGGCTTCATCTGCTTCCATAGGTGCAACTAATGTATTAGCCGTAGCCACTTCATTCTGACGTGGCTTTACGCTTTTCCATTTTCCCTAATTTGTGCTTGAATTTCCCCGAACGTGGCTGTGCAACACAGTCCTGATTCTATCAGAATCAACCAGATAATGGATGATGTTAGATTTTGTAAGATGGAACTCACGTTGATCTCCTTCAGATCTTTGTTCTTGAGATGATCCAGGGGATCCAGGAAGTTCTGTCTGACGTTCAGATCGAAGGCATCCTTGACTTCAGAAAGTTGCCTCAGCAATTCGCTCGACCATTGCCGTACCTGTATCCAAAAAAACAAAAGGCAAGATTTTATTGTTCGGATGTTTCCACCAAAATGAGAACAGCTGGGCTATGTATACCACGGGAGCTTGGATGGTCTATGAAATGCATTATTCAGCAGAAATATTTGGGAGAATTGTGCCTAGAGTGGATGATACAAGCATGGCATTTGGCACACAGTCAGAGTATGTCTTATAAAAGGGCCATCACAGATTTGCCCTTTGAAAAAATCTAGTTAACAAGCAATATTCAAAATTTTCAAAATGGCTGCCATTGGTCATTTTACTACCTATAGTGGAATCTGGCGACCAGAATTAGCAGGTTTTTACTGCGGTGGTGTCTCGCTCACACGCATACTGAACACGTTCTTAAAGACGAGGTGCGCGCGCATTTTGGTATTCTTATTGGTCGAAGGAGCCTAGAGCACACCCCCTACCTGAGTGCGACTCGCGCAAACATTGCGCCACCGCAGAAAATGGCTGCCATCGGATTTGTCTATATTTTTTCAAAGGACAAATCTGCGATGGCCCTATGGCCAAATATCTTTCTCGTGACATACTCTGACTGTGTGCCAAATGCCATGCTTGTATCATCAAAGGCACAATCCCATCGCCTATCTGCTGTACTAGTACATGTAGCTACAATATTGTTGGAAACAAATAAACAGACAACTGACAAATTTGCCAAATAAAGGGCGAGTAAAAAAACCGAAACACAAAAGGCTGGACCAATTTTTGATTGAAGTTTTTCCTGTAGCACTTTCAAAATCCAGGAGATATGAAAGCCCAGTTATTAAACTTTCTCTTAGTACAAGAATCATTCAAATCACTCATGTACTTTTCAAGTTACGAAATTTTGAACACAACCACCGTTTTAGAGTTCTGTCCACACATCACAAAAATAGGAAGTGTTCTTGCAGCAAAGTGATAACAATTCTCACAGGGATGCATGTGAATTGTTTTCATTTTACTGAAAAAACACTTTTTGTGATCCGTGGACAGAACTTTTAAAACAGTGTTTGTGTTGAAAATTAAGCAACTTTAAAAGTTCATGAGTGATTTGAATGATTCTTGTGTTAATACAAAGCCCATTGATTGGGCCTTCATATCCTAGATTTGGAAAGTGCTACAGGCAAAACTTTATTCAAAAATTGGTCCTGCCATTTGAGTTTCGTCTTTTTTGACTCACCTGTATATTGCAAATGTATGCATTTATAAATAAAAAAAAATAAAAAAATAAAAAGTGGGTGCAAAAAAGGCAACCGGCAGGTACGAGAAACTGGTTTATTTCTTTACTTGGCCTTGCATATCTGAAGTGCTGGGCCCTACATAAATTACACAATACTCATGGTACTATGTTGGTGGATTGGAACACTGATTAGAGCACCTTTTTGAGAGCTTTTTGATCAGTCTACCCCAGAAGGAAAGAGAATACATCTTGAAGCTTGCTCACCAAACGTTGAATCTTCTCCTAATTCTCTGCCGTTCTTCAGCATGACTTCTCCCAGGAATCCTACGGGTTGTTGAGGCTTGGTTCCTCCCTTGTTCTGACCACGGACTTTGCTCATGGCTCTGGAGACTGTTCAGGAAAGACAATACGATTGATAAGGGTCAGCACACAAATAGAAGATCTATCTCTATTTGGTTTGTTTGAAGTGAATACTTAGACCTGATTCAAACCGGTGTTCTATAGTCACCACAAACGTAATTATTCCAAAGGTTACAATTAAAGGTAATATACGACATTTGCAAACATCAACAAACAACTACCAAATTATTATGAAATACTTTACTTGACTGTAGGTGAATGACAGTCTCAGACATCCTGTGAAATCATGGCACCTGGTGTGCTGTCATTTTTAAGAAAAGTGGAATTTTTGTATTGATTTCAAAAGATGGTCGGCCGACCATCGTTGGAAGAAACTGATTTTGCCAAATAGTGCCCCAATTTACCAAATTTATTTAGTCCGCATTTTTTTGCAAGCGGTTACACATCCGTGAATGGATGCAAGCCAGCTAGTCTGGTTCCCTGAGCTCAGGGAACAACACAAGATCCGGCCCAAGACCTTGACACAGTGCATCCTCATAAATCAGGCACACATTTTTGCCATATAGCCTCAATCCTGCAAAAGCCTACATTTTGCAAATAGGATTTTGGAGGATTTGGGAAGGTTAGCGTCAATGATGTTTCAATTTTGGTTCTTACCTGGATTGGGCTGAAGGTATTCTATTGTCTTGTTCACCAAATCATCCACTGTGTGACCTGCCACGTCAATTTTCTAATGAAAAAAAAAATACATTACCCAAAGACAATGAGAAGAATTCAATAAGCATAAATAATCTCAAGCAATATTTACTAATACTAAATGTGTTAAAACTTTGTTCACTATGGCAGGAGAGATTCATACCCTGGACTCCGTTGCATGTACACAACAGAGTCCAACCTGGGCTAGGACTAGGGCTAATTACACTTACAGCAGACAGGGCTCTGGAGTGCTCTGAAACGTGCAAAACAAAACGGGCAAAGAAAATGTCCTCAGTATTTCACCAACCAAGTTTGGAGACTCAATTCAATTTTCAAAGGAGATTTTTCTTCAATATTTTGCACATGAGAGGGAAGTCAAGTGGTTTCAAAATGGGACTAAATACTAGACTGGTACATGTCCAACCATCATGACCATATGGTCCAACTATTTGAAAAGACTGACCTCTTCATTCAGTGTCAATAGTCTGGTGGCTTGACTACGGAGAAATGTGTAGTAAATTGAGACTAGTTCCCGCTTCATGCCACACATTTCTTTAGTTTCTTTTGGCATGGTTGATTGATGCAGTACTGAAGCTGTGTTGGACTGGTTGTTTCAGGTGCCAGTCTATTTTCTTGCTTTGCATGTTTTCAATACCATAAGTTTTGGGACTCTTATACACAGTATTGAGAGTCCCAAATTTTCGGACTACACTTACAGTAGTCCGAGTAACTTGGACCATGCTTGGACCCAACTTATCGTCTTTTTAACATTCAGATTTCACCCTCAAAATGGCCTCCCAATTACTAGATAGGCCACCTGAGGTACAAATAGACATCGATGATTAAGATGGTTGTACTGAAGTTTACTTACGATCCGGAAGAAAAGTGAAATTTCCCGTTCAATTCTGAGAGCTCCCCTCGCGATCATGAACACGTTAAATTTCCGACTCGTGTTAATGTTTGAACGACGTGATGTAGTCTTCATGCCCAGCGTACATTCAATGGTCCCCATATCCCAAGTGCGATTCCGTTACCGAGCGCGAAGCATCGATTATGAAAATGAGTAGACTGGATCTCGCTTGTGAACACAAGTGGATTTCAAATGGTAAAGACAATCGGGAACTAGCTTGAATTGGTTTCCGCCCATAAAAGCTGTCCTAGTTCCCGACTCTCTATTATCGTTCGAAATGTACTTGTGTTTACAAATGAGATCCAGTCTACTCATTATCATAATCGATGCATTGCGCTCAGTAACGGAATCGCACTCGGGATATGGGGACCATCGAATGTACAATGTACGCAGGGCATGAAGACCACATCGCATCGTTCAAACATTAACACGAATCGGAAATTGAACGTGTTCACGATCGCAAGGGGAGCTCTCGGGATTGAATGGGAAATTTCACTTTTCATTCAGATCATAAGTAAACTTCAGTACAACCATCTTAATTATTGATGTCTACTTGAACCTCAGGTGGCGTATCTAGTAATTTGGAGGCCGTTTTGAGGGTGAAATCTGATTTACTGGACTACCTCCGTAAATAAAGGCCACACTTCCACCTAGCCCATAAATGTGGCCTATTTACTGGACTGGCTCCGTAAACATAGGCCACACATCCACATGTACAAAAATCGTGTCGACTTTGCCAAATTTTGATTTTCACATTTAGGCTTAGTTTGTAGGATTTTTTGCTTTAGAAGCATACTCACCCTCTTTATAGGCTAATCAGAAAGTGCTGCCTTTTTCAGATGTATATTTTTCGTGAAATTTCCAGATTCTTTTTTACACGTTTGCGTATCAAAATTTCAACATGAAATTTCACAAAAATTAGACATCTGAAAAAGGCAGCACTTTCTGACAAGCCTATAAAGAGGGTGAGTATGCTTCTAAAGCAAAAAAATCCTACAAACTAAGCCTAAATGTGAAAATCAAAATTTGGCAAAGTCGACACGATTTTTGTACATGTGGATGTGTGGCCTATGTTTACGGAGCCAGTCCAGTAAATAGGCCACATTTATGGGGCTAACTTCCACCATGTTCAAAAACATGTCAAACTTGTCAAATTTTGATTTGCACATTTAGGCTTAATTTGTAGTTTATTTTTGCTTTAGAAGCCTACTCACCCTGTTGATAGCCTAATCAGAAAGTGCTGCCTTTTTCAGATGTCCCTTTTTTGTGAAATTTCCAGATTCGTTTGCACACGTTCACGTATCAAAATTTCAACATGAAATTTCACGAAAATTAGACATCTGAAAAAGGCAGCTCAAACATGACAAAAGAGGGTGAGCATGGTGAGTAACTTCTAAACCAAAAATAAAGTACAAACTAGGCCTAAATGTGAATATCAAAATTTGACAAAGTTCGACATGTTTTTGTACATGATGGACATGGTGGAAGTGTGGCCTTTATTTGCAGAGGTAGTCCAGTAAATTGGCCACATTTATGCCGGCTAGGGTCCAACTCCAAGTTAGGCTACGGTCCGCGGACTACACTTGAACCTTCAAACACCATGACCATCCTGACCATGATTTTGAACACCCGAATCCCACCCGACATAATTTGCTGACCTATCTCGAACACTCCATCTAGAAAGAGCATCATCACGATAACCCCAGTCCAACCGAGGGATTCCTTCTGCCGAAATCGCTTCATTCTCCACAGCTGCAGCTATTTCCTTATCGAATATCACCTTCACTTTTATTTTCAGTTCCTTCCACTTTGTCATGTTTGTGAACAACAATTTTGCTCCATCTGGCATGTCTGGTTGTTTTGTATTTATTTTGGCCACGCAGCGTGGCGCCACCTATTGTCCGATAGTGTCCATGATCGTCGGGTTTGAACAGCGCCCCCTTTGGACGATTTTTTTTTAAATATAAAATGTAATCTCAATGCCAAAACTGATCTGATTGTATGCGTACAGTCACCATTGGAGCGCCCTGGATATGCAGGGACAGGATAGGATGCGCATAGTTCACCGAAGTTCATGTTGTTTTGTCCTGGTGGATTCATTCCCATGCATTGTGTATTTCCTCAAAGTCCCTGTCAAAGCGGTCATATTACGCCTAACCACTGATTTCCTACTAAAACTTGTTTTTGCAAACAATCCTGACTCTGTATTGTAGAAAAGATGCAAGTGTACAGTACAATATTTGTCTGGGGTTGTGTGGTTGTGTGTGTGTGGAGGGGGGGGGGGGGGGGGGAGGCTGAACCTCATTTGGCGCTATGGGGGCGCTCCCATCCCGGCACCCCCTTCTCTCTATAGATTTCATGAATCAATCGAGGGAAGGCCGGATGAGAAGCATCGATTTAAAACCAGTCGTCTTCTCTCGACTTCTGATTTAGTTATTCCAACTACTGATTTTGCTGCCGTGACCCCACCCCTCCCCGTCAGCCAGCCTTGTTAAATAAAAAAAGTCATAACTCAACATTAGACCTTAGACAATAACTAGACAATAGCTGGACAATTTAGTGTGCTTGTTCTCATGTTGGTTTGTTCTAAAATGAAGCCCATTTTAACAATGTGTGTAACCTTAATTGCCCATTACACATAATTGATTTTCATGTACTGAATCAATTTGATGGTGACTCCATACAAAACAAAAAACACACGGAATATATACTTCTACTAACTTGAAGACTGAGACTCAAACCATAGAGTTATTCGTACAGCGCAAACTGATCACCGAGTAAATCACGGCCGGTGTACGTCATTATTTGGCGCTATGGGGGCGCTCCCATCCCGGCACCCCCTTCTCTCTATAGATTTCATGAATCAATCGAGGGAAGGCCGGATGAGAAGCATCGATTTAAAACCAGTCGTCTTCTCTCGACTTCTGATTTAGTTATTCCAACTACTGATTTTGCTGCCGTGACCCCACCCCTCCCCGTCAGCCAGCCTTGTTAAATAAAAAAAGTCATAACTCAACATTAGACCTTAGACAATAACTAGACAATAGCTGGACAATTTAGTGTGCTTGTTCTCATGTTGGTTTGTTCTAAAATGAAGCCCATTTTAACAATGTGTGTAACCTTAATTGCCCATTACACATAATTGATTTTCATGTACTGAATCAATTTGATGGTTACTCCATACAAAACAAAAAACACACGGAATATATACTTCTACTAACTTGAAGACTGAGACTCAAACCATAGAGTTATTCGTACAGCGCAAACTGATCACCGAGTAAATCACGGCCGGTGTACGTCATTATTCTATCCACCAATCACAGTTACTCGGTGACTAGACGGTGACCACAAGTGCCGGGATGTAGTTTTGCGTGTCAATCACAAATCACGTGTTTTGGATTTGTCACCGACATCGATACAGTATCAACCAATAGGATGTGGCTATTTCAGTGTCGGTGACACAAGTTTGTATGGGTGACTTTAATAGCCTCAACGATATTAACTGACTTTCGTCTTATTAATATGAAGCGAGTCGGTGATGTGTGATTGACAGTCCCTCAGTCACTTCTCAGGAAATCGATTCCAAGATTTAAGGCAGATGCGGGCCGCTTCTCCCCTCATAGCTCGTCACCTAGCTCCTTCGGACGACAACCAGAGAGAGAACTGATTGCAAGAACAAGATTGTGCTCGGTGAGTGTTTGAAACAATTATGTTTTTCCCCCGAAACAATGTGCCTTCTTGCACGTAGTTTGAATCAACGTGGGATTCAAATTCCGAAGATTATTGCTGACACTGTTTCCAAACAGCGAGCGTGGTAGTAGGCTTGAGCCTCGCTTCTCTGTAAGCTTGTGATGTGTAGTTGCTTGAGGAGTGAGGGCTGAACAACAAAATGTTTATGAACAAATTAAATTGGAATTGAAACTGATCTTGCATGACTATGATACCGATGCTGTTGCACGATAACTAACAGCCAAACCAGCGCGGTCCGAACCGCCATAGTGATCGTTATTTACAATCGAACATTGTGGGATAAAAGTGTGACTAGTCGGAATAAACACTCTATAGCCTCACAGTTATAGGACGCAAATACTAACAGACCGGATGATCATGCACTTAGTTTTATTCAAGTTCAAATTGTTTTATCTAGCTGAGTTCATTTGTAGCATAGAATTGATGTTTATACACATTACTCAGTCCTTCTGCTCTGCTGTTCGCCTTAAATTTGAAGCAAAAGCTCTCGGACAAATTCAGTCATGTTTGCATGTAGGGTTCCACTCAGCATGCAACTGAGATTCTGTTGGATATTTTGGGACAAAGCAATATTGGTATTTGGCTAAATAATTCGAATGTTTTTGGTTGTGTTATTGGTACCGATTTTCACAAATCCCAAATGTCTAGAGTCACGTTTCAGTTGGCAAACAGATGGTGGCTTACTAGAGCCAAACCGGTGCGCTGATTTCCCATCCGGAAAATAAATCTTTATTTAACGACTGTAACTTGACTGCAGTAGTCCAGCTGTAATGTTTGCGCCTCTACTTCCTTGGTATGAGATCGATTTCCCTCACTAATGCAGACACTGTATGCTCATTGTGATTCCTATAGCCACAAGTTCAAGCATCCTTGAACCAGTTAGAGGAACATAGGATCAATTGCTCACAATCTTAGGTATGATGCAGTACAACTAACTTTTTGAACTTTAAGCTTAGTTGATGCTATACATTTGACAAAAACAGATAAATTAAAGCGATTATTTTTTTGGTTCTTGTCACTGAATTTCGTTGCTACAATCCCGGCCAAAATGGTTGGGACACTTCCTGAGCCTGCCACGGTCACCCACTCCCCCGCTCCCCCGGTCAATGTTGTTCTCTCCAGCTGATGGAGCACACACCGCGCAATGAGCGACAACACTGAACGGGGGCCGGGGAGCTGGGGGCCCAGCGAGATTTGGCCAGGATTGTAGCACACGTTCATAGTCTGCCCACTGGCACTATGTCGAAAACATATTCATTTTTTTCAGATGATATATCAGGCTGAACAATTCACAGTGTATATGTGATACCGGTCTCTTCACTTTGAGCATCGCAAAGTTTCTGTCATTAAATCGGTATAGGTACTTTTTTCCCGGCAATTATATAATTTATTTGTGTGATAATTACTTCGTTTGATTCGAAAATAGCAAAGCCTTCCAAAAGAGACATGAATGTTCCTCGCGCTTGAGTCCGGACAGGACCGTTGGAGAACGCATTCTGTTTGAAATGAATAATCAAACCAAATTAAATTTCACTCGACAGAGGCTTTTTTTTGGGAGGGGTCATTTAGAACTTTTGAAATTCAGTTATGCCTCCCCACCATCCCCCAAGTTATCTCCTGGAGGATTTTAGTGACTCATATTTTTGTTGGTATTTGTTTTCAGCCAGCAATCCGCTCGAGTGTTGAGGAGTGCTTCCGCAATAGAATTCAAGAACTGTGCTTAGGTGAGTGTCTGTTTGACATTTTCTTCATTCAAGCATCGTAATAAAGCGGTGATATGGTGGGAAACTGTATCTTTTTTTCTATTCATTTACATGTAAAAAGTTTTTGGTCACAGTTATAAACAGAAAACGTCATTCGAACAAAAGAACCGTGCAAATCTACACTCACTGTACAACTGTGCCTCACATTTTGGCCAATCGCTGCTATGAACACAGTCCAGGCGCGGTTCTACGGGGGGGGGGGGCTTTAGCCCCCCAAAAATTTTGTCTAGCCCCCCCAAAAAAAAATTCCAAAAAAAAAAAAAAAAAGTACTAGCAAAATGTAAGAATTTGACATACATGGGAACGGTCTCCCCCTAAATGAGAAGGGTGCATTGTACACTTTTAGTTAATATAGTGTGCCCGATTGTGGGATTTTATCAGCGCTCCCCGTTCGCTCGTACCCACCGCCCTGCAAACAGGGCGCTGGGAAGGGCAGATGAGCTTCTCAGAATCTTGTGAAGGAAGTGGGGATGGCATTCTGGGTAATTTATCATGACCTTTGTATACGAGCGAACGCTCCCCAAAGAAAATATGACACGAGCCTCCCCCCCCCACGTATTGATTTTCAGAGGCCTAAGTGTCTGGAGAAATAACTAGTCAACATTTCAGCACGTTTCCCTGGAAAAAAAATCTGGATTCACCTTGCTAGCCCTCCTCCCCCCAAAAATATTGGCTCTAGAACCGCGCCTGGAACACACCTTTTTGAACCGTAGCCTTTTTGTTCGTGGTCTTTGAATGAACATGCGATTCAGTTTCAAATTCTCCCTATTATAACTAACTTCGTTCGATGACGTCACAATGCTGAATTGTCGCAAAGACGTTTGGGGTCATTCAAAGAATATATCTGGCTGCAGACCAGCAAATAAACTGCCCTGGACCTCAGTGATAAATACCCCACTTGTAAAGATCAGGACAAATACTCACAACTCTCCAAGGTGTTTGAAACACCCTTTGAATTAAAGTTTATTTCATAATCTTTCATTGTCTGTTCAATGTTTGCGGTATAATCCGATGACCTTTTTGGAACAAAAATTCCACCCAAAGATGATGACCCTGTAGTCCTGTAGCCTATCGCCCAAGGCACAATCTGCCACTTCACAAAACACTGAACACTCAGGTTTATTAGGACAAAAGATATTGCTCAAACAGGGGCGGATCCAGGAATTTTTGCAGGGGGAGGGTCAGGCTTCTAGCAAAAAATATGTCAGATTGTTGTGATAGGCGAACGGGTAATTATTATTACTATAATTGTGATATATTTGTGTGTGTGTTTCACAGCGAGGGCTGGGGGGGGGGGGTCGGCGGCCCCCTCCCCACTCTCTGGATCCGCGACTGTCAAACT